TATATATATATATATATATATATATATATATATATATATATTCTGTGCAACAAGCCAAATGCAGAAGGCAACATGTTATTCTTTTTCCAACTGCCAGAATTCTAAATAAAAAAAATAAAAAAGAGCAATTAAAAGAAATTCTCACTCCCTAATCCATCTCTAAAGCCATCCACTTTGTTTAGAATACCAGTGGAGGAGAGGGGGACAAAAAAAATGGGTTTTCATTTCACATGACTTAACACTCATTACTGGACTGCTTCTAAATACAAAAACAAGAGCTTACCTTTCCAAAAGCCCATGAAGGATCTCTACGCCCCGGGCGTTTTAAAAAATGAGATTGCTTGTCACTCTGATCCAAAGTTTCCTTCTGCAACTCAAGTGTGTATCCTCCTGCTTTAATAAATCCCAAAGTCATGGGACGGGTCAGTTACTTCTTCAATTGAACTTCCCACTCGCTTTGCCAGAACATGACCCAAACACACATTGCATAGCTATTTATAACAATTTATAACCTTCTGCTTTCACACACACACATACACACACACACACACACACACACACACACACACACACTCCCTTTCTGATTCACAACTGCTTTGGGGGGGAGAATAGGAGGAGAAGAGGTTGCCTTACAACTGTGTCAAGGGCCATCCCAGCTAGTAGGGAAGGATCCTGTTATCCAGCCCTCTCCTGCACGTTGAATCAGCCTTCATTCTCACAACGGAAAGGCTCCCAGACGAATTGCTTACACATAAAACACTCAAGCAGTCAGGACACTGTTTGGGTCCTGCCCAAGGTGACTCAAATGTTTGCCTGGCTCACTGTGCAAATAGAGTCAAAGTTGAAAAGCTTTCAGAAAGGGAAAAGGAAAAAAAAAATCCCTCATTCTCTTTCTCTCTCATTCTCTCTCATCCTCTCATCCTCTCTCTCATCCTCTCTCATTCTTTCTCTCATTCTCTCTCTCATTCTTTCTCTCTCTCTCCTTCTCTCTCACATTCTCTCTCTCTCTCATTTTCTTTCACACATTCTTTCTCTCTCTCTCTCTTTCTCTCTCTCTTTCTCTCTCATTCTCTCTCTTTTTCTCTCTCTCTCATCCTCTCTCTCATTCTCTCTCTCTCATTCTCTCTCTCTCCTCTCTCTATCTTTTTAAAAAATAGGCTTTTGTCCAACAAGCAAAGATAAGATTTCATTCATAAAAGGGAAGCCTTGGCTTTGGTAAAATGTTTGATGCGTAGCAGCAAATCGTGTTTCCAAAACAGGACACGAGACCACGAAAGGTAGAAGAACACAGGTTTATTTGCGCAAAGCGTTCAGAGCATTAGCATGACAAATTCTGAACTCCCGTCTCCCATTCAGGGCAGTTCCTTTATACCTATTGTGACTTCAGCCGAAGTCTGGGCGTTCATCTTTGACATAACTGTGCTTACAAGATAATACAGAAAACTTGCAAAACATCTTTTTCCAAGAAAGGACTAGAAAGAGGATATGATAAACATATTTTGCTTACTTTGTTATCTTACACCACCAGATACTTTCCATGCCCACTCTCATTTATAGTGACAGGTACGTTGTTAGTTCCTTAAAGTTATAGATTGCTTAATATCTGAGCAAGCTAAAGCAGAGGCACTCTAACCTTCCTTTGGTTATGACTTATGACATATATAGGGTGATGATATGATTAACAGTGCTATTATTTTATATGCCCTTTTGGTCCCGCTTCAGATGGATGCAAAAATTTAAGAGGGAAGATGCAACTTACTTGCAGTCCTTGAACTTACGACCACAATCAAGCCCCGAATCTCCCCAGGTAAGTGAGTCATTGGTTAAGTGACCTTTTGACCCATTTGGTGAACTTTCTGGCCACAGCTGTTAAGTAGAATTACTGCAGTTTGATACCGAAGTATCATTTTATCCTACTTTATCTATATATTAAATTATTGCTTTTTAAAAAAAATTCAATTTCATTTTAAACCGTGTTTTATTCCAATTTCATTTCAAATCATATATTTTATTCCAATTCCATTTTAAATTGTTTTTTTAATCATATTTTAGTAATAATTCATGTCTAGAACTTTGCCCTTTGATATATGGCCCCCGGTGAATCAATAAAATAAACTGATCCTGAACTGAATCACTGCAGTCATTATAAGTGACTAACATGGTCGTTAAGTGAATCTGGCTTCATCGTTGACTTTGCTTCATGGGAAGATCACCCAAACGGAGGTCGTGTGACTCCCCCGGGACACTGCAACTATCATAAAGATGAGTTGGCTATCAAACATCTGAACTAGGATCATGTGCCCAGGTGGGCAGGGTGCCATGGTCATAAGAGTGAAACACGGTTGTAAGTCATCTTTTTTTTTCCAGTGACACGGTGACTGTTATGTCCTGAGGACTCTAGGAGTTCTCACTCAGGTCCACTCACTTTGTGTGGGCGTTATTCCCCCATCCTCATTGGTTGGTTCTCTCCAGCAGCCAGCTATAAAAGCAGGCTGCGGGGTCCAACCAGTTGCTGATTGCTGCGAGCCAGTTCCAGGCGTGGCAAGCACGGTCAGCCCTTTATTGTATAATAAAGTATTGTTGCACTCATGCTCTGGTTCAGCCTCTCATTGCTCAAACTTAACAGTGACTTTGAGCAGTCACTAAATGAACTGTTGTTTAAGTTGAGGTTCACCTGTAACTTAATCCAGGAAGGGAATCTGAGTTGGGAAAACAATTTTGCATAGTTTTTCACGAAGACAGTTTGCTCCTTGGTCGTTAAGGGAAGAAGAGTTAAGAGTAGTTAATGGGCATAATTTACATAGAGGTTTGCATTAAGAAAATGTAAGATTACAGGTGTCAGGATTCCAGCCATCGCCCTAATTAAATCATGATCCTCAAGTCAAACTTCAAAAAACTTCAAAGGATTTATTAGAGGCGACATACTGGCACTGCCCCGGATGAAGCCAACTCTGGCATACGTAATTTACAGTCACCTGTAACCCTGTTTCCTCCGCTTCCCCCTGGGTGTCTCATAAATCAGATTCTCCAATTAAATAAAGTCATGGGCAAAAGCTCTGGTAGTTTAGTTACAATCTTTTAAAGATAAGACTTGGAATGTACTTTCGCTTTCAAACTGCTGAACTGCTCTTCCAGATATCCTTCCTTCCCCCTACTTTTTTTTTAATGGCAACTACTAAAACAGGCATAGGAATGTTTTATGACTTGACAACAAGTAGTCCTCAACTGATGATGTCAGGCCCCTGGTGGAGACTGACTCCGAGGGAGAAGAGGAACAGCTGACAGGGAGTAGAAGTGTGGCTCCGAAGGTTGTGGAGGCGGCTGGGGAAGGGCCAGCTGGGCAGTCAGAGGAGGACCCAGGCCCATCCCCTCTCCATCCTAGGGCATGCAGGGAGGAGAGGATAAGGGAGAGATGTGCTCTACTGGGGCGGAGTGGGCCTTGGTCCTCTTCATGGGCTGCAGATGTAAAAACTGAATAAGAGAATGGAAATGCGTACGAGTGAACGCTGGAAACAAAGCATGGAAATATCTCTACTTTATGGTTCCTCTCTGAGTTTGGTGTCCTTCCCAGTGTGTGTTATCTGTGGACGTCCTCCAGCCTTTCTTGCCTGGTTTGTGTTGCTTTTTTCCTCCTTCTTGTAACTGTTTGTGTGGGAGTTTTTTGTCTTCCGTCAAGAATCTTCAGAGCTTGGAAGCAAAGTGAAGGAGTAAAAGGAGATTCACTTGTTTTCTGTGACGGTGTTTGTTTTGTATCCCACCCTGGGTGATCACAGATGACCACAATTGAGCCCAGAGTGTATGTTGCTAAGTGAGACCTTTGTTAACTGAGTTTTGCCCCATTTTACCACTTTTCTTGCCCCATTGGGGAAGGGAATCGCTGTGGTTTCTTCAATTAGCAACATGGTCATTAAGTGAATCCGGCTTCCCCACACCCATCAGAAGGTAGGCAAAGGAGATCCCGTGGTCTCCAGGGATGCCGCAACCATCATAAATATGAGTCCTTTGTCAAGCATCCCGAATGGCATTCACGGGGGAATGATCACACATGTGAAACCCAGTCGTATGAGTCCCTTTTTCGGTTGCTAAAAGAACTATTGTGCATTCTAAGGACTGGCTGCCTTAGGAGAATTAGACTTATTGGATTATGATTGGGGGAAAGTGGATTTTGAAATCAAGAGAAAGTGGACAGATCTCAAATCCAGGCAATCATCACTGGAAGACGTCAGATAGAGCAAAAAAAAAAAGAGGCAAGAAAGCCTCAGGTTATTTTCCTTTCTCAAGGTTGGTAAACTGCCTCGGCTTGTCACATCTGTGGTAACGATTCACAAGGTCGCAATTTTTTTTTTCTCTCACCCAAGATACCAGCTGGTCATAAAAACTGATATTTTCAGCCACCTGGAAATATTTTTGGTTTTTTTGATCCTGTTTATCAGAAACGCTTCAGTTTCAAGTTTGCTTTCCCAACATAGCCTTCAATGTTTTACCACCTGCTTGTTTGAAAATATCCTTCACTCTTACAGAAGGACTGATAACGTAACCACAATATGAATACACACACACACACACACATATGTGAACATTCTTATTCACATTATTAAATATACATATACATATACATATACATATATTCAGCTTTGTTTGGGTATTTTCCCATGTCATTATAGTTGTGCTTTTAAAGTTGTAGCAACGTTTTGGCAGAATCTCATCTGCCATCATCAGGTTTCTGTATTGTGTTTGTCTGTTCATCTATACAGAAGCCTGATGATGGCAGATGAGATTCTGCCGAAACGTTGCTACAACTTTAAAAGCACAACTACAATGATGTGGCAAAATACCCAAACAAAGCTGAATGCCATACATGTAAGTACCCACGAAAACTTAAGAATATAT